TGTTCCGTGCAGAGGATAGATGATTCGGGGAGCCGATTGAGAGTGAGACACCATTTATCCACGCCGGAGAGAGTTTGTAACTCTCTACAGGCCGTAGCTGCTTACCCGTGTTGCCCCGCTTTGGATACGAGCACGGATTTGAAACCCCAGCAATCGTACGTTCACCCTCCGAACTAGCTGTCTTCACGGCTTACAAGGCTTATTTGGAGATCTAAAAATCGCACAGACAACGCGACATGCCATTGTCCAGTGCAGCTTTCCTAGCGGGTCGGTGAGATTAGTGTAATCCACTTCGAAGGGAACGGAATGGTGCAGTGCATAGGGACACTATGGGACCCTCCTGGCTCCCCATTGACGCAAACCAGAGGGAGGGGCTGAAAAATATTACTAGACAACGTCGTAAGGTAGCCGGCCTCGACACGGCAGCGGGCTGTGCGCCTCCGGGGAGCACGCGACGGGTTCACCTGGACGGTAACGAAATTAGAGAGTCACGGCGGCAGAATTGGCGAACAGTTCGGGGATCTCTGAGACCCAAAGGAGTTTACTGTGGGATAGAATGGAATAGAAATGAGAACATGTGAGGTTTCAGGCTCCATGTGCTCTGATTGTATAAGACGCCGCGGAGTGTTGCTGTCAGCAGACGGCGATATGCTAATGCTCCTGTTCAGCTATTCAGGTATTTGTTGCTTGCAGTTATAGCAGACCAAGCACGTTTGCAACAGGATATGCAGTGAGCAAGTGAGGGTCACACATGTCGGCTTAACAGGAACCTGATCGAGAGCTGAAGTGCGCCATCCGTATAGATCAGTCTGGCGAGTTTATGAGCTTATCCCGTGTTTGGTGCGCCTGTTCAGGTGTTGTTTGTTGATATGTTCTCTGTGGAGATACACGTATGATTGAGCTAGCGGATTTGCATAGCAGCGTAAACGTAAACCACAAGTAGGGAGTTTATGTGAGCAGAGACTTTATAAAAAAACGCGAGTAATTCAATACTTGAGCTAGGCAGATCTGAAGCGATTAACAGACAAGCTGCCATTAACCCGGTTTACATAGCATATTCGACGAGGCTCTAGCTCGTTAACTTGGCGATAATTTCGATGCAGTGGTCTACAAATATTTAGAGGGGATCATTTTGTAAATTGTTAAGCACCATTGGCATCTTTTGCAACATCACGGACGGAGGTATAAGCTTGCAACAAACCCTATGTAAACCGGGTTATTGACCGACTGTCATCTTTTACTCAACAGTGACCGTTTCATCACGTCCTTTAAGTCAAAATATAAATAAATCCTATCCGTTCGTAGCAGCAATATCTACCCCAGCCTGTGCTAGTTAGCCAGATGTGTGTGCCGACAACGGTCATGATACACAGCTGGCACAACTGGGTCACACACCAGCCGAAAAGGGTGCATATTCGTCACAGTAGGCACACACAGCTGGTGATTGGGGGGTGGCGAGCGCGAGCGAGTCTGCGGGTCTGTCCTCCTCAAAGTGGCAGGTGTGATCGTGTTGATAAAGTAGCGGATATAGATCGTGACTTAGGGTGAATAAAAGCCGGTGGTGCAAATGAGGAGGTGGTGGATGAACTCTTTAAAATGTGGTGTTTATGTTTTGCATTAAAGTTAATACCCGAAACTGTACTAAGTGCATTTTACGTGAATAACAAAACACACTTTTCAATGGACGCTTCATACGTCAGCAAAGAAAGAATGACACAACTTGAAACTTCTTGTATTCATAAGCTGCATTTCACTGGAGCTTATCTTTGTGATATGGCAAGCCAATGCTTTTTTAGACTATTGATTAGTGTTAACAACATCAGAATAAAAAAGTTCAAGGCCTTTAAAGTCTTAGCCATTCGAACGGTACAATGAGCATCATTTATCAAGATGATGTCTACACATAAGTACAAACGGATCAGGATGACTGTCAGATTAGTGCCAGAATATTCCGATAATCTTTCGCCACATGCCGTACTTTTTCCTGATAAGAACAGCGTTGCCTGTCATTAAAGTAGGGCGCACTTATCAGTTGAACTCGATTCATTTATTGAGATGATCTAATGAGCCACTAATTGAGCCAGTTAAAGTCATCATAAATCTGGTCGGCTTCCTTTACTAAGCATCATATCAAGAATAAATCATTTCGCCGGAACAATTAAAGGGACCCTCCCACCTTAACATTAGATTTGAGTTGAGAGAGCCAAAATGGGGTCCCTGGCTCACAATTACCGGTTTCGGCACTCACAACATCGAGAAATGCCTTAAATCGGAAATATTGAATTTCAAAATTGCAGCATTTTGATTCAGAGGGGCTAATGCATAGGAATACCCCTCTGAATGTGTGACGTCAGCGCAGATATCTAACGATTTTTAAATGTTTGACTAAAACGTTTTGTAGCACGCGGTGGTATATGCTGCTTTGCGCGCAACAAATGCCGCACTTTCAAATAAAGTCGCTAGGAACAGCGGAGATCCCAAAAAGTAAACAAAAGTAAAAGTCTAATATCTTGAAAACCAGTGAATATTTTTCGATGAAATTTGGTAGATATTCGTTTTTGCTCTTTCTGAACCGAGCGACATCACTTTCATGCCAATTCATTAACTTTTTTGAAGGTGGGAGGGTCCCTTTAACAAAGAAGTTCTTCACAAATCGCATACGATCATCTTTAACATAAGATGGTCATTTGATCAGTCGCGATCAGACAGATATTAGCTCCCCTCATCTGCAAACTCAAAGACAGATAAAGCACGTCTGCCATCCATCCGGAACCAGAGCGCATGTTGTAAGAGCAAGATCACGTGTCACCTGTTAGCGGACGCGCTCATCTGTCTATTTCTTCTGAAGAACTGAAGATAGATCATTAATCAAATGCACCGGCCTGTCGACAAGCACCAACTGCTACCTTCCGCCCACTAAAGTTAGCACATGCTAAGTGAGAAGGTAGTTAGCATGGGAAGCTGAAACGATCGCTCATCAGAGATCACATTTTTGCTGCATTGCTAAGTCGATATTCATGTTTACATTATCGTATATTCTTCCTCAGACTGCTTGACCTGCAGTCGTTCCCCAGATGCGGTCACGCCCGTACCGTGACCTCCACCTCTGACATTGTCAGCACCCCCAGTGACGTCATAATGACGTCACTGAGGGCAGCGCCAGGTGTCGGCTGGGCGGCGCCGGTATAGAGGGTGGAGCGGCGGCCGTCACCGCCCGGCTGATCGGCCCACATGGATCCGTTCCGTCTAGAACTGACCTCGCCGACCCCACCTGGCTCGCTCCGGGGCGCGTTCCGACCGTTGCTAGGAAATTCCCAGCGGATCCAGCGACCCAAACTGGCTCTGAGGGCGACAAAGGATCCCTTCTGCACCCTCCCAGCCACCAACCTTCACCCTGTGTAGCCGCCACAAAGACTCCTTCTGTCTCCCTTTCAACGGACTTCTCATCGGACCACCTGTCCCAATAAACTATCCCCCGTCGTCGGTCGTACCCCTTCCCATGAGGTTTTTGCTGGCGTGCGGACAACACCTGCCCAGACGCGCCGCAACGGCCCTTTTCCGGTCATTCTTTCAACTTCCGAGGCCCACCACCTGCCTAACCGAATCACCCCCCGGGGGCGTAACCGCCTTCAGTCGATTCCCATGAACGGCTAACTCACTGTTCTATCCTAGCAAACTCCAATCCTCATTATCTCGAACCAGGTCCTTCTCCGAAAGGAATGACATTCCCAGAGGCAGCGCCGGAGGTTATGCGTCACAAATACACAGCACACGCACTGCATCACCGAACCGAGTCAACCCGTCATCGCGTCACCGGCCCGGCGCCGTGAGTCATCGCGGCTGATGACGGCATGACGTCATCAGGCCTCTGTCGGCTGAAAGCGGTAGCCGAAATGAACGCCATCGGACCGGACCGGGCTGGGATGGACGGTATGGGTGAATGGATTATATGGGGAATGTACTTGGGTTGGATGCATGAGATTGATAGAATGCGACGCAATGGTAAAGAGGAGGAGTGTCTGATACGATAAAACCGGAAAGTACGCACGTGTTGTCATTGTGCCTTGACAGATGTCATGGCTCAAGGGAACAAAATCTGAGGACGATTCGTCTTCTTACTGACAAATGTAAGCAGGTTTTAGCTTTATCATAAAATCCGCCTCCTACACAGCCAGAAGCTGCAACAGTCGGATTTTGCAGGAGCCGCGGCAGAATGAGAAGGTGAAAGTACCCGAACCGGCGCAGCCCTTGGAGGGTCGCACTTTGATCCGACCTATCGGCACCATCATTACAGCTCCGATCGGGTCCTGGCGAGTAGGTAGCGCGTTCCCAGAGAGTACCGAGGTCGCTTAATGTGAAGAAAAGCGTGCACACCGAGCCCGATAAAGATCGGTGGGGATCGGGAAAGCGAGCGAATCAGCCGCTTCCCCAGAAAGTGTGGGCAGCTACCCGGTAGGTTAGCTGTGGCCTTCACTTTCACGGTGAAGTTAGGATCGCTTTAACGGGCATCGCGTAATCCGGGCGCAGATGAAAATCAGCATGCAATCTGGATTCTGGCTAGATATTTGCAGAAGCATGCAGAAGGAAACTGATAAAACGAAAATTTAAAACAGAGATCCACCATGTCGATATAAAATGAACGTTGAACAACTGTACCAAACATCAAACACACCGAATAACAGATAACTAGGTGTTTGGCAGTGAAGATGCATATCAAAACGGCAAGGCCTTTATGCCACAGCAGGCAAGGGAGCAAACAAGGGGCAATTCGTGCTTCAAGAGGAACGGGAGGCTACAACCCTCAAGGTTCAACCGAGCACCTTCTGATATCGAAACTCACGCCGGTATTTCCCTTCCACCCAAGCAATCACAATGCACATTGCACACAACACGTCACGTGCACGAAACACCACAGCCACTGTATCCATTTTCTGCGACCAATCACCCGTGACAAACGCCCTGTTTACACCTCGTCTGGGTGTTTGCCACGGCGCTCTTACCTCCGTCTGTGGCGAGAACATGATCTGACCGCAGAGTGAGCCCACCTCCCTCGGCAGCTCGACGCGCGACACGACTCCCGCACCGACCGCTCGCGGCCCTCGCCCCCACACTGGCACCGTGACACGCCGCCCTCCCTCCGCGTGCACCGCCCGGCGACGACTGGCGACTGACGCCCGCTCGCGCCGGCAGCGGCAGCGGCGGCGGACGGGTGGCGGGCGGTTGGCGACGGCAGAGGCGGTGGCGGTGGCGGTCGGCTTGAAGACCATGGGAGCCCGGCATATCGGCATGACATGGGAAGCGGCGGATGATGTGGATGCGGTGCCTCAGTGGTTCTGGTAAACGGAGGCCATTCAAATACCAGAAGTGTACCCGCGACTGCTAGAGGATGAAGCAGCTGTTACTGAGCCGGTATCGGAATGTTTAGACTACCAGTGTAGCAGCTGATCTTAATGGGGTCCCAGTGTTCCGGTATGTTCGATTCGATAGGGTTTACAAAACATCCTATCGGTAACTAGCTATGATATATCATTCGTTAATAAATGTTTAAGAAATCATCGATGACTTTTGACTTGTTAAACAGGCAATATCAGTGCACCTTATCACAGCAGTGATGTGTGTAGGACAAGAAAGCGGCTCGGGGCAGCCTGTGGCGAGGAATCCGGTTCAGTGTCCGTCGGAGTGTTCCGCCGGAAGAGGAGCAGGTCCGGCGGAACGTCGCCCCGCCGGAGGGCCACACTGGTCAGCTGGTTAAATGGACCGGTGAAAAACACAAAACCCAGATAAAATATAATATGCCCTGATAAAACTTCCACAGGCATTTATGTCAAAGCTTCAAAAAAAAATCAGGCTTTCAACAAATCAGTTTCAAAAGTGGCGGATACCCGCATCTGTTGCCAACAAAGTCGTTCAACCCTCACGTCATCAGAGGCTGCACAGTGCACATCGGCAGTCAGCTAATAAGGCTAATCTCTCCCTCGGAAGAACCTTTGGCACCCCGCGGGGCAGCGCTCACGTAACCACCGTGCCGTCATCATACATGAGAGGTCACATGGGGCTTAGCGGATGGAAGGGTCAGGTCCGGCAGCGATGGGCGGTGGCTCCCAGGACTCCGTATTAGGAGAAGGTGGACCGGTCAGTTTCCATGCTGAGTCAGATAACATTACTGTTGGATGGAGAGACCGCCCGTCATACCAGCGACCACAACATCGGATAGAGATATGATATGTCGCCGTAGCTCCGAGTTAGGACGCGGCGCGTCATAAATTATCAACATCCGTGAGTTTGTGGCTAGCAGGCGACATAAAGAAGGTCATCTATGCTTTGCGCTATAATTTATAAGGCCTCGGAAATAAAACCGAACTAAAAGAAGTGTAAAATAATAAGTAGCAGTTAAAGGTAGTGTGCCAGCTTTCTTGGACCGTATGGAGTTAATGGCCCAGATAAGGAGAACCGGATTTTTAGAACTTTTCCATACCTTCAAAACTCATGGAAACGTCTTAAATTCTTCAAATTTTGAGTACCCCAGTGCGAAATTCGCCCCGACGGGTTGTCGGTCGTACCCCAACCACATTTCACACCACTATGAACAATAAATGCACACACTGAAATCGCTATTACCGATATGCTCATCCAATCAAGTTTCGATAAACCCGTTCATCATCATCTCCTGCGGTTTCGAACACGCCTGTTAGGCGGCTTCTGATGCTCGTCGGGGTCGGAATTTCCAAATACGCGTGGTGCGTCGGGCCGCGCGCTCTGACTTCGGCCAAGAAAAATGCGTCAGCTGATCATTGTCATTTCTGCCACTTGCGTGTGGTGAAATGGGGTCATAACTTAAGAGACTGCTGTTTTATATCAATTATTTTACATAAAATCATATTTCAAACCATAAATTAATGTTCGACAGCCAAATAAAAGAAATAATACCAATACGGGCTTACAGTTTAAGGCTCGACATTGTGTTGTCTACGATTAGACAGCTGATAACTCATTCCTGTACGTCGTATGGTCGTAACACTATAATGACCTTTGCTTATTGTCACAAGTGCGCCGCATTCGCGATTGTTGCCCGACGCCTGTTTGCAGGTGAGCCCACTACAGTTGTTATACATATCTAAAAACCGATAAACTTTTAGGCGAAAAAGGCACTATTCCAGGCCCATTTTTGATTTTTTTTTGCGATATTAGGTAAAAACAGAAGCTTCTTATCCTAGGAAAAATAAAATGGGAAATCTTTCAAAGGTGGCACACTACCTTTAAATCTAAAATATATCACTTAAAACTCAATGCAACACTGCGTCAAATATTATTTCTTCCCGCGTCTCTGAACTCAGCTACAAGCATGTGTCTGAAGCTACGGGCATGGTGGTCAGTGGCGATAGAAGCAACTGATGAATTTATCCTGCAGCCTAAGAAGGGTGAACGGGACATGAACTGTGATCACTAACGAACAGACATCGAGCATAATATTCGGTGTTCTGCACCGTTTCACATTCGATCTTTCGTTCAGCTAATGACATGGCGCCCGCTGAGCCGGTAGCAATTATATCGATTTGCACCTCCATAAACTACGGAGGGGAGTCGAACCGACAGCCGTGAGTCAGCTGAACCAGTGTATCCATTCACAGCAGCTGTAACGGTGAACAATACACGCCTGTGTAACGGATGGAGCATCAGCCCCGGGGAGCACTACCAGCAGCGTATAGCGGCAGCGTTTAACCCGCGCCCTGGTGGGGGGGGGGGCTATTTTTTGCCCCCCCTCCAGACTTTTCGATATATCTCCAGAACCGCTGCGCCGATCGTCACCAAACTTTCAGTACCCTCCCGGACATCAATTTTACACATTGTGACCAAAAAATTTTCCAAAGACTATGATAGGTTGGCCGGAAATGACGTCAGAGTGACGTCATGTTCTGCCGTTTTCGACCCAAAAAAGGGTTTCGCGGGAAGAGCTGTCAGGCCTATAGCTTTGCAAATACAGAAAAATGATAAAGACATAAAAGCTGTAGATTGGACAGGGCTACAAAACTGCTATCTCGGATTTTTGAAATTTTTGGATTTTGACCCCCAAAAATCAAAAAATAGATTTTTTGGATATACTAATCGAAAAATCCAAAAAGTTTTTTGAATTTCGCAAAAACCGGAATATATGTGATAGTCCTTACCGCCTTCCATCCACATACCAAATTTGAGATTGATACCTCCTTTTTTGGCGAAGTTATAGCGAAAAAAACTGTTCAAAATTGATGACGTCAAATTTTCAAACTCAATTTTTAGCAATTCTAGACCCCATAGCGCAAAACAAAGACCACCATTAGACTCCCCGTGACGAGCTGCATCGAATCAATACCCAATTTATGCAAAAATATCAACTTTAAAATTTGACCTTTTTTGGCCTGACCTTGACCTTACCTTGACCTGAACTTCACCAGAAAGTGACCTAAGCCGTACCTGATAGTCTTATAACCAACACCATTGAGTTGGAAATGAAAAATTGGCCATAAAACATGTATCACACAACCTTAGTAAAGTTGGGCTCATGTGACCTGACCTGTGACCCTTGGTGACCTGACCTGTGACCTGACCTGGTATTGCTAGTGACCTCTAATAGCAACATATCTACTAGGCAACTGACGCCCTACCGCTGATTCTCGACAAAATGCGTTTTCCTCGGTGTTATAGCGCATTCCCTAGAAGACCCGTGAACGGTGAAACATTTCATCTTTGACCTGACCTGTGACGTCATCGGTGACCCCGAGGTCAATGAAATTTGGTTTCCTTCGACAAATTTGACAGGCCTTTCGAACGCCGTTTGAATTTTGCGGATCCGTCCAGTAGTTTCGGAGATACGAGGGGGGGGGCAAAAAATAGCCCCCCCCCCCACCAGGTCGCGTTATAAACAGACCCCACCAGGGCGCGGGTTAAAGGTAGTGTGCCAGCTTTCCTGGACCATATGGAGTTAATGGCCCAGATAAGGAGAACCGGATTTTTAGAACTTATCCATACCTTCAAAACTCATGGAAACGTCTTAAATTCTTCAAATTTTGAGTACCCCAGTGCGAAATTCGCCCCGACGGGTTGTCGGTCGTACCCCAACCGCATTTCACACCACTATGAACAATAAATGCACACACTGAAATCGCTATTACCGATATGCTCATCCAATCAAGTTTCGATAAACCCGTTCATCATCAGCTCCTGCGGTTTCGAACACGCCTGTTAGGTGGTGCGGTAGACCGCGCCCAAAGCCAGGGCCCCGGTAACGTGAGGTAGCCGAGTCAGGGCAGCGTGCGCTGACCCAAGCCGGAGCCGCGCGTCCTCCCGGTGTCATGTGATAGCCCGGGGCTGCCCGCGGGGATGCGGTAGACCGCGCCCAAAGCTGCGGCCCCGGCTTGGGTCAGCGCACGCTGCCCCGACTCGGCTACCTCACGTTACCGGGGCCGACCGGGGCCCTGGCTTTGGGCGCGGCTTCTGCTCATACTTTATGGTGCGGTGGTGGTGCGTCGGGCTGCGCGCTCTGACTTCGGCCAAGAAAAATGCGTCAGCTGATCATTGTCATTTCTGCCACTTGCGTGTGGTGAAATGGGGTCATAACTTATGAGACGGCTTTTTCATATCAATTATTTTACATAAAATCATATTTCAAACCATAAATAATGTTCGACAGCCAAATAAAAGAAACAATACCAATACAGGCTTACAGTTTAAGGCTCGACATTGTGTTGTCTACGATTAGACAGCTGATAACTCATTCCCGTACGTCGTATGGTCGTAACACTATAATGACCTTTGCTTATTGTCACATGTGCGCCGCATTCGCGATTGTTGCCGACGCCTGTTTGCAGGTGAGCCCACTACAGTTGTTATACATATCTAAAAACCGATAAAGTTTTAGGCGAAAAAGGCACTATTCCAGGCCCATTTTTGATTTTTTTTTTGCGATATTAGGTAAAAACAGAAGCTTCTTATCCTAGGAAAAATAAAATGGGAAATCTTTCAAAGGTGGCACACTACCTTTAAATTCGCGCTGACAGAGCTTACGGCGTCATGTGATAAGAATGGAACTTACCTAATATGAAACTGAATAAAATCGTAAAGCGCGATATATGGCAATGAGGATCTGAAACTTGAGGTGGACCCGTTGGCCGATAGAAAG